CTCTCTCTACCCAGGTGTATAAATGGGTACCAGCGAACTTGATGCTTTGGGTAACCCTGCGATGGACTAGTATCCATCCAGGATAGAGTAGATTGAAATACTCCTAGTCCCTTTTTGCTACAAACACTAGGATAAGCTCCGGCCTGATAGGGCACTTGGCTCGTAAGCCGACTTTACATGTACTTTTACCTTGTGTTTGACAGGGCTTGCAACAGTTTGAATCTCTAATGGCGTTAACGAATTTGGCTCAAATGAGCGACGAAGTCAGGTGAGATGTTACATTGATGTGCTGTGCAATTTCCACTTAAATATATCTATTACTATTTTCTCTGCAACGTTTTTTGGCATTTTATGCTAGTAGCACACTTTGTTGCGAACCTAAAAACAGCACTAGCAGGGGCGGCGAATTGTCCCTCAAAAACCATTGCTCTCGCAAAATTGCCTTTGAATTTCACGCGTCTCGCAGTCTCGTTTTTTTCAGTTTAGTGATTATGTGCATCTCGCACTCTCGATCTTTTCACAAAGCTGTCTCGGACTTTCGCTTTTTGCAATTCTTTTTGAAAGTCTCGAAGTCCCGATTTCTTCGTTTGCTCAATAACTACTTCTGAACGTCTCGCGCTCACATTTTAAACACTTTGAAGTCTCAATCTCGCAGTTAAAGAGTCGAAATGTGTCGCCCTTAAAAACAAAAACGCTCGACTCGCCTTTTCGCAAAGTCTTGCATTTTCCATTCATCACCCCTACTAGCATATGGCACAAAAAGAACGTCTCCAAAACCAGCAATTGCTTCAAATGCTGTGAGTCCTCCAAACGCTTATCATGCGCCAGCGCTATTTGCAACCGCGTGAAAAGCACGTGCAAAGAGAGTTAAAGAACGTATATTTTGTTTGATTTCAGGCGGCATATTATGAAGGAGAAAGGCTTCCCTTTGATCGAGAGTCTAATGTTTGATGAACATGACATGGTCAAGAGAGCCGCCACTGAATGCATGTGTAACATGGTGCTCTGTGAGGAGGTAAAANATATTATGAAGGAGAAAGGCTTCCCTTTGATCGAGAGTCTAATGTTTGATGAACATGACATGGTCAAGAGGGCCGCCACTGAATGCATGTGTAACATGGTGCTCTGTGAGGAGGTAACAATGCTGTTAGATTTCACTTGGTGTCTCGTTAACTGTGACACTGTAGACAAGCGTTTCACTTTCGAAAGGGGAACTCTTAAAAGCTGGTTGCTTTGATGTTCGACCAAATTCACTCTATTATTACTTCAAGATATTTATAGAGGCCATTAAGGCGAACTTGAATGTGGACTATTCGGGCGCTACATGTTTCATCTACCTGTTGATATTCTTCCCTTGTCGTTGAACCATAGGTATTCAAAATGTACGAGAAAGAAGACGCCCCTACAGAACGAGTGAAGCTACTGACTCTACTGTCCGGCGAGGGGGATTTTGAGCTGTCACGGTGAGATATTTCACTTCTGGGCAATGTATTTCATCAATATTTATTCCTCTGGGAGAAATTATTTGGTGGGACTCTTCTCATAAGCTCCCGGTTAAAAGGTGTAAACTTCACAAAGGCGGAAGCATGGTGTTATGACCCGATGGGTTCGCAGGAGCTGAAAACGTCACCACTTTATTACTCTGTTTAGAACCGCATTTCTTTGCACACGATTTTGTTGTACTCAAACCAGGTATCACTGGT